CAGCGGGGTGCTCGGTTACTGTACTACAGGGGCCTACACCATGACACCATTACCATTGTTGTGGTTCCATTTTTTTTTCTCATTTTTGTCTGGTATAGGCTACCTCAAACAGACCACAACTGATATGGGTCAGTCCCTAGAACTAGGATCCGACGCTCGGGGTGGGGGTTGCAGTTTCTTTGCGGAGCGGGGACTAGTGACTGGGCCAAGATGGGACAATCGTTTACGGAAATGCAACAATCTGTCCTAGGAGGGTCCCAAAAAGGACCCATACTCTTGAAAGGCCACCACACATTCTTTTAAAAGTTGCTGTCCTTGGCTTCCCGCCCAACAGACAAAAGAGCTAGGAGCGTGCGATGGCCTGGGAAGCAGCCCAGAGGCGGCTGGGAGGCCTGCTTCATTTAGGGTCAGGGGTTTAGGGTTTAGGGTTTAGGGTCAGGGGTTAAGGGTGGATGGCTTAGGGTTTCAGAGTTTGCGGAGACGTATGGAAGTTTGAAAAGTACGAGGAATGCGCTGGCTGTGAGGGGTTGCATGAAGGGGACCTCACGTTCAACAAGCTCCCAGAAGAAGAGGGATTTTGATGTCATGTCAACCCTGGAGCCCTGGATAATCCTTAATGGGAACCTTGTATGTTCAACACAATTTCCCTATCTCTACCTATATCTTTCGGGGTCCTGGTAATTCCAGGATTCAGGCAAGGGCTTTTGCCGATCAGAACATGGCAGGAGAACCAGAAGCACCTGAGGACGGCTTCTTTGTCTGCAGTTCCCCCCATATGGGGGTTTCCCAAAATTAGGGGTACCCTTTTGGGGGCCCCAATAATAAGGACTATAGTATTTTGGGGTCTATATTGGGGTCCCCCTATTTTGGGAAATTCCCAATATGTACCCTGTTATAATATAGTAGTTTCCATTTACTTTTCCATTATCCGTCTAAAAACCTTAGTAGAATTAAGGGGGACTCTCACTTCGAGACTTGCTGGTTTAGTCGTTGCAGCTTGAACACAACATTTACTAGATCCACAATTCTCAAATTTCCCGGAAAGGAAGGTCTTTTTTTCTGGTAGATGTTCACTACCTTCGCTTCCTACTACTACTCCTACTTCTACTTGTCCTCCCTTCTTGAAGTCCAGTATTTTGGGCACTATTATTCAGGGCTTAATGCGCAGTCAACATTAGTGATGAGTGCATATTTGTTCCCTCCCCCACCCACCCTCAAGTACCAGTATGTAGTTGGGAGGTTGCAGCGGCGGGATTTCACGAATTTGAGTCTAGCCACTTCTATGAAGTGAACATGGCTATAGCCTCCCCCCTCTCCTTAAGCACCAGCAAGATTCACATGCAGCGGCTCAGGTGTGGGATGTGTTCTTCGACACGCAGCTTGGACAATATAAGAGGCAGTCAGTGCTCAGACTTCAGGGTTGAGGTACTGCGACAGACGGGCTTCCACACTGATTCTTGGTTCACCTTGTTGCGTCACTCACGGATCATGGGTAGATTGCCCATGTTTTGCCAAGAGCAGCTGCAGCTTTTTGAGTTTCTTTTGAGCTCAGGGCTTCAATCGAGGCTCCAGTGATGCAAGTCCGTAGCCTGCAGCGTGGATGAGGATGAGGGGGTATAAGGTGCCATAGATCTTGAGGGCAGTGTTCTGGGTAGCTGTATGGGGGACTGACGGCCTTGCAGCTCGAACCTTGGCCCAGCTTCCAGCAGAAGTTTGAGGTACAACTTTACGAACAACAGCAACTGCGGTGATTTGGTCTTCAGTGGCCACACGGACGGGCCCCCAGTTGCTGCTTCAGCTTGCTAGTTCCCAGGGGAGAGTGCAGAGTGAATGTAGGCATCTTTAGGATTGAGATGTTCTAGAGGCATTTAACAGTTCGTGAACACTGCATAATGATACTCAGATGGGCTCCAGGAATCCTCACATAAGCCAAATGCTTGTCTTCAGGACTGTAAAGATTATGAGGGAAGCCCGGCAAGGTAACAACAGCAACGCTGATGGTTGCTGCGAGCCTTGGCAGCATTTCAAGCGCCAGCTGTGGCCGAAGCGATTTTTGCAGTCCGCTAGGTCGGGAAAAGCCAAGTTATTACCAGGTCATGTCCTTCAGTCTGTTGTGCTTGCTGCACTTCCTGGAATCTCTTCCAATTGCTTCCTCTACTTGAATCAAGTTTTCAGTATATCGGGGTACATATTGGGATTATCTAGGGATAATGGAAAAGAAAATAAATGGAAACTACTATAGTCTATTGGGGTACATAAAATTGGGATTATCTCCCCAACATCCGCTTTTGGTTTGGGCGGTGCATCCTTGAAGGTGCTACTATGCTGGACGCATGCTCCCACAAGGGGTGACAAACATCCTCATTGTCGCGTCGAGTCTTGGTGTGTAACGAGAGTACATCAGCCGAGGCCCGTAACCAGGCTGATAGTGCGGACTGGGCTGGGAATGGATGGACATCTGAGCAGATAATATACAGCGATTACTATTATGATTACTATTATTTCTACTACTAGTACTATTATTACTGTTGTTATATTGATATTATGGTTGTATTCTGTGCAGCCTCAGCATGGTTTGGTCCGGATTGATGTGCAGTAGCTAGGTTTTTCCTTGCCTGATGCCTAGACAACGCATCCCCCAGATGCTCTTTGACGCGTCTGCAGCTCACCTCACTTCGTTTTCTACGCCCCTGCTTTAAAACCAACTACGGATCTAAGTTGTTGCAGATAGTACCAACGTGTAGTGGACTAGCTTCATTTAATGCAGTCCTCCGGCTCAAGTGCTTATGGCTCTTTACATTGTCCGGAACGCCACAAACTTGAGAGCCTCTTCTGTGGTGTCTGCAGCATGCGTGATTCACCGTGACAACCGTGCTGATCAAAGAAGGGGGGGCGTGAAGTTGTTCCACCGGTGAGAATAGAAGCACGGTCCCAACCTCAGGTGCAAGACGTGTGCTCATTAACAAATCTGAGAAATCCCAAGACAGCCGAGGATCTTCATTCTCCTGTTGCAAGTTTTCCTTATCGTGACAGTGCACCTTCGACTGAACATCAAGGCTTGCATTGCGCTGCCTGGGTGCTGTATGGCAGCACCAGGAGGTTGCATTTGCACCTGCGCGAAAGCGGCAGCTTCAGGTGAATGGGTTTCACGTGAAACTTTATGTTGTGTAAACTGCTCGGGGCCTCCGATCAACCAGACGGCCCCGGGAAATGCTAGCAAGTGCCAGATAATGTCAATCATCATCCTCTGAACTTGTGACTCCTACTCAGCAGATCATAGACAGTGAGGCACAACCATTACACGGTGGACGTCGTCATCGCTGCCTACATCGCCCCTTTGAACTTCTGGGCCTGGTGCCGCACTCAGGGGGCCCTGGCTCACTCTAAGCTCCAGGCTTCGCTGGATTTGTACCATATGCCCATGTGTTTCAGTTGACTGATGATCTTGGTTTGGTGGTAGCTGAACCCACGGCTAGGGATCCTGGGTGAAATTCGCACGCCTTATCAGGCTTCACCTCCTCCCGACGGAGGCTGGTGCAGACTGCAACCGCTCGGAGCCGCCAGCGCGAGGGCGGGTGGCTGGGGCAGGATAAACGGACCCATCAGTCAGAGAGACCACCATGTCTTGATGGTTTCGTTGTTCAGGGCTCACGATGATGCTGGGGTCAAGGTCCAGGGAATCAGATATGGAGGTCGGGGTGGAGGCGCAGGAGCATTTGAATTTGTGCCAGTATTGCAAGAGGCCAGGACTGTGAAACACATGAAAGGGCTGCTGATAAGGATAGAGTTGGAGAAGAATAGAAGCGACTGTTGCAAGGGCTGTCATGTTGCTTAGATTCAAGATGGTTGCGATAGGAATATTGGGTTACTCAACCTCAGTTGCGTCCCTGCCGCCGCAGTACCAGCTTGTGCTCCTGAGCCCGCACCATCACATCATGCCGCAGCTGTCTTGCCAATGCTGAGGCGTTGCCACTAGCTCGTGATGAGGCAGTCTGATCCCCTGCCATGCGCTGGATTCGGGTACATCTTCACAATTACAGATCTACGTCAGACTCTGTATGTAGCATGTGTTTTGCCAAGCCGGTCCGTGGCTAAAATTTGACGGCAGGAGCACCAGTGAACTTTGGATGGGATGCGCCTCAGCAGTCCAATGACCCTCTTCCCCCAACTGTCAACCCTCCTCCCTACAAGATCTACAATTCACAAGCTCTGTCAGGCAACTAAATAATGCTTAGCAGTGAATGGAGGGAGGCGGAGTTGTTTTGAGGGGGTTGGAACTACAGCTGCCTGGCTCCTTGGACAGCGCGTGCAGACATCGGAATATGCCCGAATTAGGGTCGGAACGTTGTCCCCAAGGATCCTCAAGGTGAAGTCCTTCACATGACGGTCCCAACGTGACGCGTACAAAGAACTCCACATGCTGCAAGATTCTTGAGCTTTCCAGGACAGCTGTGGTTCAAGTGGAGAAAAGGCCGTTGCGCAGTTTCTTGAGATTGGGGGTCTGTGCGCCTCGTTAACGGTGCAGCTCTAAAGACCTTAGCTTGATTTCAACTACATGGCTCTTGCTGCTGTTGGGCTAAATCAGAGGATCGCCTCTCTTCTTGAGACAGGCCCCACTCAGCCTTGTAGAAGCACCGAAACACCTGTAGCCACCGATTGCTGGCCAAAGTCGTTGCCACGCATCGTCCAATGCACGCGAAAAAGCGGTGAGCGGCTTCTGCAGAGCAGGTTGTAGTCTAGCATCTCGAAGTAACTAGGGGTAGACATATTGGGATTTGGGCTTTGGATTTAGTGGTTAGTCGTCGCTTATAATGGGACCTCCAAAGGTGAGAACATCTCTCATGTAAATATGGTAGTTTCCCAAAATAGGGGACCCTAACATAGACCCTAAGATGCTGTAATCCTTGTTATGGGGGACCCCCCAAAAAGGGACTTCTGATTTTGAGACAACCCCATATCCAGATGGGACCCTGCAAGCCACAGCTAGGATCCCTTGCGAGGACGCAAGAGCACTGCAGTGTGCTGACGATGAGCTGAAGAGGGACAGGAAGTTCCTCCTGAAGGCTGTTTGGATGTGTTTTAGGCAGATGAGTAGTACTTCATTTGGGGATACTATGGTACCCAATATAGAGTAAGATTATATCCTCCTTTTGGGGCATAGTATTTTATATAAGGAACATTACCTGACTAGGTTCAATCACCAAAAAAACGCTACTCAAATGGGGTATCACTTGTGGAGGGGCTTCAGAAGCGGTGAATGTAGGACTCAGAGAGAATCTCAGACATGACGAAGCCGAACAAAGTAGATTTCCTTCGGTTCGGAAGCCCACAAACTACCAATGTGTTGTGCCACGATGTCTGGCATCAGCTACAATCAAGCCCTGTTCGCCCTAAACCCTAAGTAGTAGTTGCAACTTTCTTGTCCATTGTCCACACACACATTTATATAGGGATAATAACCCTGTGGCCCTGCCTCAACCCTAAACCTTAAACCGCATATGGCAGGGGTCCGCATACAGTGCTGAGCTTTTCGCGAAAGTTCTTGACTGGTGGTTGAGCCGACTTATTCCCGAGTGGAACGAGCTTTTTCCCAATCATTGGTGTAGAACGGGCAGTCAAATCTTGC